GTTTTTGACAGGAAAGGATCCATCCAGGACCTGTATAGCTAGTCCTGAGATAAGTCAGTGGGCCCCCAAAAGGCCTCTAAGGCGGCGGATAAGGATGCCTGTAGACGGCACCAAGCCTTGGAAAGGTAGTTGCAGAAGCGGGCCAGGGAGACGGACAAGATGGCTATGACATAACAGTCGGATCAGGGCCCAAGTCCATTGCTGGGGCCCTTGGACTTATCTACCCAGCCCAGACAGCTATTTCTGGACAGCCTCCCATAGCCATATCTCCTCCAAGGAGCACTGCCTGGCGAAGCCCAGAGGCAACCTTCACCCCTACTGCCGCCGGTTTAAGACAGGAGGAGGGATTACCTGAGACTATTCCCATCGAAATGAGGCAATGGATGGAGATGGCAATTCAGAAGGGCATTGCGGTTGGAATTCAGGAATCCATCCGGACCAGACACTTTTCAGCTACTTCGGAAATGGGATCCCTGTCTGCTCGATCCTTTGTGCATATGGGACAACATCAAACTCAGGTATTCCCCAATATTCCTGACATACCAGTCCAGGGTCTTCGGGAGGAGGTGGAATTAGATGACCAGGATGTTCCCATGAAGGTGGGGTCAATCCATCAGATGGACTTGGGGTTGTCAGAGGCTGACCCACTAGAACGAGGAATGTCGGATGACAAAGGCCTCATTCTGGACCAACCTACCTTTTCTGGTCTTTTTTGTCCGCACCTTTTTAAATCTTTACTGTTCAAAGCAAAGAACACCGCTAAACTAGTCACATCAAGTCCTCATCCATTGTCAACAGGGTCTCAGGACGAATCCGAGGACCTAATATTCTCACATCCGGCTAATGAGGCAGAAACTATTCCTGTCTCTCATATGTTTGCTGAATTAGTACAAAATCAATGGGCATCAGCAGCATCCTACCCAGCCCCAACAGGGTATGATAAATGATATTATAATTCGGCACCAGAGTTTTCAAATTTTCTGAAAACACCAGAGATGGATGAGATTGTGGCACTGGCCTCTTCTTCAGCCTTTCCCAACGAAGCCGAGGAAGCTCTGAGACCGGAGGAAAAGAGAGCAGAGTTGGCACTCCGTAGGGCGCATGTTTCTGACGCCTGGGCCATTAGGGCAGCTACAGCTGCGTCCTTTTTTACACGGTCCTCCCTACGATGGCTCTTCCACTTGAGGAATATATTGCCGGTGTCAAATGTCAGAGCCCACCAGGGCATTGCTAAGATTATTGCAGTGGCAGAATTCTCCACCGACGCCACATTTAATGCAGTCAAATTCTCGTCTAGAGCCATAGCATCTCACATGTCAGCACAGAGACTGCTATTGGCTCAGACATTGGCAGGCAGATACCAAGCATAAATGCAAGCTGGCATCAGCCCCAATATCGGGGGATAAATTATTTGGCAGTGTCTCAGAGCCTCTGCTTATTGAGAATAGAAACAAGAAAAAAGTGCTTCCCACTCTTTTTCAGAGGTCTGAAAACAGAACACCCCAGTTGTTTCGAAGGGGTCCCTTTTGGCCCTACTGTCAAGGTCCATACATTCCCAGATCGCAGAGAACATCAGGCTACAGGCCCAGTTTTAGACAGGATAGGTCTGAATCTTCCAATAGAGGTCAACAGGGAGGCCAAAACAGAAGAAACCCCAGAGGTACCGGAGGCCGATTTTTTCATCGCCCCAAGTGAGTCCTTGACAGCAGCTCCCATTGGAGGGCGGCTAAAATTGTTTGCTGATCAATGGGACAGGCCCACCTCTGATGCGTGGGTCAGGGACACTGTTAGGTTTGGTTTGGCGCTAGAGTTTCAATCCCCCCCCGAACTTTTTCATTAGGAGTCCTAGGTCCACGGACCCCATTAAGACAGCGTTGATGCAGGAGGCTATCAATCATCTTCTGCATATTCGGGCTATTAGGGACGTCCCATCTGAACAACGGGGTCAAGGCTGTTATTCTATATTGTTTGTGGTTCCAAAGAGTTCAGGGGACTGGAGGGCAATTCTGGACCTCAAAAGTCTGAACAGATCATTGGTTTATCAAAAATTCAAGACGACTACTCTCCAGTCCATTCTGCTCAGCATCAGAGAGAACAATGTCCTGACCTCTATAGATCTCACAGAGGCTTATCTACATGTACCAATTAGACCTGCTCACTACAAATATCTTAGATTTTGCTACGAATATATCGCCCTACCATTCAGTCTGGCTTCGGCCCCTAGGACTTTTACCATGGTCCTAGCGGCTTTGTCTGCCTCCCTGAGGATCAAATCTATTTGTTTACAATGCTATCTGGATGATATTTTAATTTTGTCATCTTCCAGACATCAATCAAATTTGGATACCAAGATTACCCTGGAGACCCTTCAAGGTCACGGTTTTTCCATAAATTGGGATAAAAGCCATTTGATCCCCTCAACTAGTTCATTTAGGGGCAGTGATAGATACCATGGAGGGCAAGGTTTTTCTCTCTCAGGTCAGGTTGAATAGTATCCAGTGCTTGGCCAGAGAGATCAGAGCCTTAAAGAGGGTTTCCCTGGCAGTTCTGTCTCAACCGTTAGGGAAACTGATTTCTTGTATTTCCATTGTGCGTTGGGCTCAATTCCATTCTAGAGATCTACAATGGTTCCTGCTACCTTTCCAGCGATCCAGAAGAGCCACTTCCAATGTCCGGATAAAGGTACCGCACAATGTTCTTCGACCGCTCTGCTGGTGGTCAGAAAACACGATAAACAAGGGGTGTCAATTCAAGGAACCGTACAGGGCAACGATCATGACTGATGCCAGCCTAATGGGATGGGGAGCTCACTTCCAATCCCACACTGCTCAGGGAATTTGGACAATTTACGAACAATCACAAAACAGCAACCTGTTGGAGCTGTGAGCAGTTCATCTGATGTTACGCAGCTTTCTACCCTCTTCCAGTCACGCCACGTTCTGGTCTTGACAGACAATATCACAACCAAGGCCCACGTAAATAGACAGGGGGGTACCCATTCCAAACTTATGATGCTGGAGATGGCCAGGTTGTTCAAGTGGGCCGAGGGGAATCTGTTGTCGCTCAAGGCAGAGCACATAGCAGGGGCCTTAAACACACAAGCGGACTGGCTCAGCAGGGCCACAATAGATCAGGCAGAGTGGCACCTACACCCGTCTCTCTTCCAGGAAGCAGTGTGGAGGTTTGGGCAACCAGTGATTGATCTATTTGCCTCTCCCCTCAACGCCCAATTGCCCCGGTATATTTCAAGGTACCCGACTCAGGGGGCAGAGGCTGTCAATGCTCTGCGATGTCAGTGGCCTCCCGGACTTCTATATGTGTTTCTTCCACTCCCTGTAATACCCAGGTTGATCCAAAAGTTATTGGAGGAATGAGCGGAATTGATATTGGTCACCCCTTACTGGCCCTGTCGAGAGAACAACCTTGAAAAATTCCACCGTCGAGGGTTTCCCTCTCGCAAGGGCCGGTACTTCACCTGGACCCACAATGGCTCAGCCTAGCCGTATGGAGGTTGAGCGGAACCGTTTAAGGACCCAACAGATTTCAGAGAATGCCATTGCCACCATACAAGCATTCAGATGGTCCCCTACAAATCGTATATACGAGGCCATGTGGTCCTCTTTCTGTTGCTGGTGCTGGGGGCCTAAGATCGACCCAACTGTCCCATCAGTAGGACAATTATTGGACTTTTTACAGGAGGGGTTGACCAAGGGCCTATCTCCAAATACTTTACGCAGACAGGTGGCGGCCTTAGCCTCGGTGATATCCTGGGGTGACCTTCATTCCATAGCGCACCATCCACATATCCGCAGCTTTCATAAAGGTGCTGCTAACTTACGACCTCCTGTAATTCACCGCTATCCCACTTGGGAGCTCAACAAGGTGTTAACCACATTTACAACTGGCCCGTTTGAGCCTTTAAGAACCGCTAGTCTCAAATTCCTGACATATAAGGTGGTCTTAATTGCGATCACATCAGCAAGGGGGATTTCCAAGTTGGCAGCATTGTTGATGAGAAAGGACCTGTGCGTGTTTCATGTGGACAGAGTGGTTCTCAGATTGGATCCATCGTTCATCCCTAAAGTAAATTCAGCCTTCCACAGAGCGCAGGAGTTGGTGCTTCCAAATTTTTGTCTGAAACCATCTCATAGACTGGAGCATCAATGGCATCGTCTTGACTTTCGAAGGGCGTTAAGCATCTATCTAAACCGCACGGCGGCATTTCAAAAATCTGAGGCTCTATTCCTATCCTTCAACCCATCCACTTTAGGACACAAGGTGTCGTCAACGACCATTGGTAGATGATTGAGAGCCACCATAGCTAAAAGTTACGAATGCCAATCCATCTCAGTTCCTAAGGAAGGGCTTTACAGCCCACTCGACAAGGAGTGCGGCAACATCAGCAGCATGGGCCACTCGGGCTTCCATAGACAAAATTTGCAGAGTGGTGACTTGGGCTTCATCATCGCCCTTTGTCAGAAATTATAAAATTGATGTCTACACCTCAGAGGACACTTCATTTGGCAGAAGAGTCCTGCAGAGAGTCCATAGAGTTTAGGAGTGGATTTCGATCCAGACGGAGTCCCTCCCTAAGGACAGGCCAAGCTTTGGTATGTCCCACTTCTGGATGCTCTGAACAGCTCATGGGAGAAAGGGCGTTGGTACTTACCTGATATGCCCATTCTCTGTGAGCTGTGAAGAGCATCCAGCCCCACCCATTTCTTTCCGTCTGGTGGGGTTCCGTTCCGGTCAGGGATCTAGATTAGGTGATGAGTTCCAGACTTTGGCACTCAGTCTTTGCAAAACTGGGGGACGCTGAAGAGGTATCCCGTGGAGGAGGAGGAGCGTCCTGGAGTTTTAAGCCTAGCCTTTCCAGAAGAGACTGAAGCACCCCCCACTTCTGGATGCTCTTCACAGCTCACAGAGAAGGGGCATATCAGATAAGTACCAACGCCCTTTCCATTGCAGTTGATGTTCTTCATGTGACTGGGAGTGATTTTAGATAGTGTTTTAATCCATCCACAATATTAGCCCATTTTCTCTTCATTTTCTTGAATGTCTCTAACCCTGATGAGTCCTAGAGAATAAGGATGGCAGGTAGCTGGGAACAGCACTTCATTTTAAAACATTTCCATTATTTAACATTTCAAATAAATAGATATGCAAGTACATATTTATTTAATCATGAGTATCAGCAGAACACACATTGCAGGTATGGTAAAGAGTAGTTTGCACAACAGTGGTGCATGCAGTCTCCATATTGTCTAATCTTAAATTATATAAGAGGGTGTATTATATGTGACTGCAGAGTATGCATAATCTCAATTGCAGAGCATTAGTACTTCCACTCCCAATTTTTTAATATGAATTGTGGCCTAAATAAGCTTTTTCATGTTTAAGTATGTAAATAAATCTGCACAACAAACATATTTCTTCTGGATTCATAAGTTTTTGTCTCTGCAATCATTTTCTTGACATTTCTTAGCTTCTATATCCTATGTTAAGTAGAGTTACAGGTAGAATTTGTGATTTTTCTGCCAGCATAAGTTAATGTGAAATGACTAATGACTTCTAGACAGTCAACTTTTCTTATTGAAACATTCTGTTCATTAACAAGTAAGCTATGTGAATGAAAGATTTTTTAGTATCTTGATTGACAGGGACCCATCCAAGGGCTGTCCAGAGCTTAGAGAATTTGGCAGAGCAACAAAGGCCATAAAGACTTTTCATAAGTGAACACAAACCTAATAGTGGAGCTCTTCCATTTTAATAAACAGAAAAGTTAATCTGTCTCCCATTTATTTAGCTAGCTATTTAATTACTGTATGGTTCCAGGGGAAGAGAGATTGGAAACTATTTCCAATTCCTAGTTTTAATTCCCCAGTCTCATTTTAAGAACCAAGCAACTGAACTACTTGACACACTGGGCTTAGATTGTTGCTTTTTAAATACCAAGTCTGTAATAAAACCGACCTCATTTACAATTTAATCATGGATGCAGAGACAGGCCTGAGATATCTAACCAAGATTTGCCTGAATGAAGTTAGTGGTCATGTCGTTATATTTAGATCTGTCCAATCAGATTTAATCTTTTGCATTAGTCACAACCCAGAGCAAGGAAGTGATGTAACAATTATGTGCTCAGCAGCCCTAGCTATTGTAAGAACTGCTGGTCATTTGTTAGCCAAACATGAGGCCTGCACACATGATGCTAAGCAAAGAGACAACTTGGGTTGCCATCCAGGTGCATGGCTGCATACCTCATTAAACTAGTTGATTCCATTGTAGAGGTCCTTGTGGATTTATCCAGACTGTTAATACTAGGTCATTTCAACCTCGTTTCTTTAGACTTTCAGAAGGCCCATAGTTTGCTGCATTTTAGATGGTATTCACCTCAAAGAAGATGTGTCATCATATGGTTCTGGAGGAATTTTTCATGAACAGATCAATTCTTTGTAAGGAGGGCTGACTGGTTGCCAACCTTACAAATTTGGAGACATTTAAGATGGTCTACCTCAGACATCTGATAAATGCAGGAGCTTACAGACCACGGGTATCAAACTTGATCAGGCCAGATCGTGACATATTGTGATGGTTTTTGCCTTTGCAGAGCCGGGGTGGGCATGGCCTGCACGTATCCAGCCCACAAGCCACCAGTTTGATAGGCCTGTTATAGACAGTGTTTGGGCAATTCCCAAATTACTAAAGGCACATTGTGTTAGATGCTTATTGTACCCTATGACTATTATTAAGTGTTGTACCTTATGATTCTTGATGAATGTATCTTTTCTTTTATGTACATTGAGAGCATTTGCACCAAGACAAATTCCCTGTGTGTCCAATCACACTTGGCCAATAAAGAATTCAATTCTCTTCTCTTCTCTTCTCTTCTCTTCTCTTCTCTTCTCTTCTTTGTTGACCATTGGAATATAGAGGTAACTAGGACATTTAACAAGATCTCCTGAATGGTCTCTTGCTCTCCACTGATCTGTGCAGCTTCTTGGTTTACTAGGAAGCCCATGAATTAAGCTGTGTAAGATATCCCTGAAGTGATGCGGGGGTGGGGTAGGATGAACATGACAAACATAAGTAAGAGTCCTAAATTCAATTTATTCTATGGCATTATGGTCAGCAAAGTATAATAACTTCCCTTTTCTCATTTCACAACATTCTGGCCAGCTACCCTATTTACTGGACACTTTTGGAGAAGGATGAGTTAAAAATCCAGTTAGTATAATTTTCAATTATCTGGTTTAGCATTTCTTTAATAAAATTGTTTGCATCCACTTCATGTTTCAAGCAAGATGACAGAATCTATTGAGACAAGAGAAGTGATTCCTTGAGGTATTATCTGGAAAACCTTTGAGCCCTTGGACCCCTAGGAAATGGACATGGTCATTTGCTGTCTCAGTTCTGCCGCTTTATCAACTGGACCCCTACCTTACCTGGTTAATTAAACAGCCAAATGTGGGATTGGGAGTTAGATCTGGGCTGTAATCAAACCCCTCCGAGAGAAGGGGAAGCTAACAAAGGTCCTTAAAGAGGTATTGGTTTATCTACTTATTAAAAGACCAGGCCTGGATCCAACAAAATTGGACAATTTGTCTGTCTGTCTATCTAATCTATAACTTTCCTTTTAATGGAGAAGGTAGAGGGCTCCAGAGATTAAAAGAGATCCAGAAAAAAGTGGAGCTGTGTGTGTGTGTGTGTGCGTGTGTGTACACACACACACACACACACACACACATATACAAACAAACTTTGGTCCACTTTTTTGCCAGACACTGAAATTTATTTTTCCATATATTGTAATTAAACACATTCCACATATTTTCAGGTATTTCTGCGTGAAACTTTGGAACACATGTTAGAAAAACAGCGAGAAATAGAGGTTGGCAAAGCAGCCATGATCATCCGAGCACATGTCTTAGGCTACATGGCACGGTAAGAAATTAGGAGTTGTGTATTATTATTGAGTTAAACTCAAAAACATTTAAGTTAGTATAAACTCTGCAGATTGCAGGTTTGAATTCCTGAGGCACAAGATTAAAGCAACATTTGATTTTTATTATTCTCTCAATCCTTACTTGAACATTTTTTTTAAAATAAAAGAGATCCTGAAATCAGGAAAAGGTATTGTACTGTGTTAGCATTTGTTTAGATGTTATGCTGCATTAAATTTTAACTCATATGATCAGATACATTGCATTGTTTTTATTTTTAAAATAATCATTATCAATTTTTGTTAAATAACCAATTAAATAATTAATTGTGTTAATTGTATTATTAACATTTAAATTGTTCAGAATCCATTTACAGGTCTTTAACCTATGTCAAAAATAAGAAAACTAAAAATGAAGCTATTTAGCAATAAGAACATCAAGTTCACAAAGCACATCGGGTCATTTACATTACATTGAAAATTTTAAAAAGCATAGTAATAAAACTTGAAATATGCTTCAAGTGGAACTTTTTTCTTTATTTTGAGAGGTAAATTTAAATTGTATTTCATACAAGGTCTAAGCAAACAGTATATTAAATAATATTTCTTATAAAATAATCTCTGCATAAACAGAATGTTTTGTGTCTTACCTGGAACTTATATTTGTTGTCTCATCATGTAAAATTGCATTCCCCAATCAGGCCCTTTCTAAATTATAGCTTTTAGAATTTGCAAGATAGTTGGAATCCTTCAAGTTGTATTCCAATGTGTAAGGATCAGACATTTTTCTAGAGAATCTGGAGGTGGTTCTGAGTGTCATCATTTGATTATAAGCATGTAATTGTGAATTATAACTAATTTGTTTGGCTGTAATTCCAATGTATTCTCTTTGGGAAAAGGAGATTTGGAATTCTGGTTTTTTATTATTTTTGCTATGGTAATAGAGAAAAAAAAGTGTTCCAGTAGATAAAGTTGTTTTTTTTAATTAGCAAATAATGATAGGACTAGGTGGTTGAATTATGCTTGATTTGTTTATCTAATGTCAATTATTATGTACTGAAGTCTGAAGAGGTGATTTAATCTTCCCTGCATAGGTCAATAAATATTTGTCTAATAATTGCTTAAACAATGAGGTCATTCATTTTATGTGCATATTATTTCTATCTATGTATATTGAATGATATGTCCTTTATAAGAGCAGAAAATGATTTTCTGGAGGACAAATAAATACACACATAGACAGGTAGACCACAAATAAAAGCTATTGGGGCAATGTTAGGAAAATGTGTTTGCTTAGTCAAGATGTATCTTTCCCTTTTGTAATGGCTCTAGTCTTCCCAGGGGAACAGAAATGTGAAGCACAAGGAAAGGATATTTATGGGAGTTGAGTCCACAGACTTCTTTTACTTTCTGGAATCTTTAATTTATGGCATGGGTAGTGATTGCTCAAACAGTATGTCTTCTTCACGTGAGTTGTCTCTGCATATTATTTCAGAAAACACTACAAAAAAGTCCTTTACTACATAGTTATCATACAGAAAAATTACAGAGCTTTTTACTTAAGGAGGAGATACCTATTGTTGAAGAAAGCTGCCATCACCTTCCAGAAGCAGATGCGAGGGCTGATTGCTCGCCGAATTTATAGACAGCTGTTGGAGGAAAAGAAACAGCAAGAGGAGGAAAAAAGGCAAAGGGAAGAGGAGGAAAGGTACGGAATATGTACTTGCTTTAATATATCTGGTAAGCAATTGATATTAAATAAGTTTTTTAGAACAGTTTGTGGAAATTACTGAGAAGTCCTCAGAAGCCATGTCTTGCTTTAATGATGCCTTTCTTTTGCTTTGATGCCTTTTCATCCTTCCTGACGTTTTCTAATTATCCTTTTAGAAAGCAACAAAAGATGGAAGCAGAACGTCTTGCTCAGCAGGTTAGCCATGTATTTCTTACTTTGTTCATGTTAAATTAATTTATTGTGATAACGGTTGGAAGGAGGGAAAACCTCTAAGGTTTGAAAAATAGCACATTACCGACACTTACGAAAAAGATGATTTTTGCACTGTTTCTGCAGGCTAAAGAAGCACTTGCAGCTATTCCGAAACCCCCAAAAGAACTAAAGCAAGAGCTAGAGAAGCAAAAAGAAAACAAGCAGGTGGAGGAGATCCTACGCCTGGAAAAAGAAATTGAAGACCTGCAGCGTATGAAGGAGCAGCAAGAACTGACATTGACAGAAGCATCACTGCAGAGGCTGCAGCAGCTCCGAGATGATGAGTTGAAACGCTTGGAAGATGAAGCCTGTCGTGCCGCACAGGAGTTCCTGGAGTCTCTGAACTTCGATGAGATCGATGAATGTGTCCGAAACATTGAAAGAACCCTCTCCGTAAGCAGCAGTTTCTGTGCAGAGCTTAGTGGCACCGCAGGCACTGAAAAACCCAATTTTAATTTCAGCCAGCCATATCCTGAGGAGGAAGTTGATGAGGGCTTTGAAGCAGATGATGATGCTTTCAAGGATTCACCTAACCCAAGTGAGCATGGCCACTCGGATCAAAGGACCAGCGGCATTCGGACAAGCGATGACTCTTCAGAAGAGGATCCATATATGAATGACACAGTCGTTCCAGCTAGTCCCGCTACGGGCAACAATACCCTTATCCCTTCTATCCTTGACTCTCTTAGTCTCCACAACTCTTCAAGCGGGGAATCCACATACTGCATGCCAGAAAATGTTTCCCGCCAACCCCCTAATGCTTCAGAGCTCATCTCTCCTGAGGCAGACTATGATTATGACCAGGATGACTATGAGGATGGTGCTATCACATCTGGAAGCAGTGTGACCTTTTCTAATTCTCACAGTAGCCAGTGGTCTCCTGACTATCGCTGTTCCATAGGGACATACAACAGTTCTGGAGCATACAGATTTAGTTCTGAGGGAGCTCAGTCTTCTGTGAGTAGTTTCTTTTCTTGCATTACATACTGTTGGAAATTAAGAGTAATTTTAATCTGGTCAAATCCTACTGTTATACATAATGCAGAATAGTTCTCTTTATCAAAAACTGCCCTTGATTGGCCATCCAAGTATTAACTTCTCCACTAAATTATTTTTCTACTTTGCTGGAAAAGTCTTCTCATCATTCATGACTAGTCTTCCCTGAGGCTTCTTTTAATGGCTGCTATGTATTGCAAACCTTGGCCTTTTGAGTTCATTAATAAAACTGCAATGAAATGCTTCTCAAAACTATATCCTGTATAAGGGAGAAGTCTTAAATGATCAGACTTACTAAAAAGTCATTTAGAAAAGTGCCAGAATTTGAATTTATTAACATGTAATATTAATTGTTGCTAAAATATAAATAATATAGAATAGTCTGTTGTTCAGAACTGCGTGTACCTGCTCAATAGTGCTGAAATGTTCTTTTTAATGTGTCCTAAGTAAAAACTGTATTAAATATATGGGTGTAATTTTAACTGGATTTAATTAAATTTACTTTTAGTTTAGTTTTATCTATATATTTTTTCCTTTTTGCTCTGGCCTCAAATAGCTTTTTTTAAAATATATTTTCAGACTGGAAAAAAAGGTTGTACAACTCTAAAATTAAATCTTTGTGTATTTAGTTAGATATCCTCTTTTGCCATGATAGAAAATTTCTATTTCAGGAAAATGACAGTAGCTATTTTGCAATCATATTTATAGTGACTGCATTGTATATCAGAAATTAAATTTGATTAATTTTATTTATCACAAGGGTAGCACTGCATACGTGACAGGTACATTGTTTTATTAAACAATGAAAATTACCTGTCAGAATTAATAGAAGTTAGAAGTTACAGATTAGGACTGAAATATCAGACAACTTCACTTATGTTGATTATTTTCCAGTTTGAAGACAGTGAAGAAGACTTTGACTCAAGATTTGATACAGATGATGAACTTTCATATCGGAGGGATTCTGTCTATAGCTGTGTCAGCCTACCCTATTTCCATAGCTTTTTGTATATGAAAGGTAATTTATTCAAGAAACAATTTCTTTCTTAAGTATCCAATATTAGTGCATTATTTCTCTTGAGAGGAAACAAGTGGAAATCGGGATAATGTCTAGTCATTTTTAAATACTCAGAATCTTCCTTTTTTATTGATTTTTTTAAATGATCAGCTGTTAGAATTAGTTTTATTGGTTTTGTCTCATCTGTCTTACTTTCTCATGATCTCTAACCTGTTTAACAATGATGAAAGTAATTGATGAAATAGCACATGCCTTATCATCACCTTTACTCATCAATTTTATATATGTGTATTTAAAATAAAGCAGAGTAAGGGGCTGTTTAAATCTGGGGAGTGGAGATGCTATTGCAGAGGGCAGGCATACTAAAGGAGGCCCTGAAGTTAAGACAGATCGCTGGTTTTTAATGTGTTAGTTGTAATAGAAGATAGCTTGAAGGTCTGTGACCGCCAACTGTTAAATGCAGTGTAGATCTTATTCACACATATAAAATATTTATATGCACACATTATGCTTTTTTTCCAGTTTTAATTGATTTAATGGAGTCAGGAATAACTGGCATCTCCTTCGCCAATTCATCTATTAAATTAAAGTTTCCCTGTACAGTATGTTCTTTGGAATTTCGAAGTTCTTCAGCAGATTTCTCAGAAGTTCTGTGATTCCACTAGGATGCCTGAAAGATAGGTTTTTGTGATGCATAGGAGCATGGAATATTTAAAAAAAAAACTGTCTTCTTCATTCCTGGCAGGTGGCTTAATTAATACTTGGAAGCGTCGTTGGTGTGTCTTGAAAGATGAAACCTTCTTATGGTTCCGCTCAAAACAGGAAGCTCTTAAACAAGGTTGGCTGCATAAAAAAGGTGGGGGTTCGTCTACACTGTCGAGAAGAAACTGGAAGAAAAGGTGGTTTGTCCTTCGACAGTCCAGACTCATGTACTTTGAAAATGATGGTGAAGAAAAACTCAAAGGAACACTTGAAATACGATCAGCCAAGTAAGTAAGGTCTGTGCAGGATATTTTCTGCAGTTAAAAACAGGCGAATCCAGTGTATAATCATGAATAAAATTTACTAATTTGCAAGCTGCTATCTCACATCATCTTCACTGGAGTGAAAAAAGAAAATGCCTCTCATTTTCCTGCATGATCTTAGCTGAAGGGATAGTGTGCACCAGATTCTTGGTTGGAACAGATTGAATCAGTGATATCCTTCCCTGAGATGGCAATATCAGGGCTGTTTGAAAGAACTCCAAATTATTGATTAATAAAAGAGCATTTTGGAAATGCTGAAGTACTGTCATTATAAATATAATTAAATATTCTCTCTTTCTTCCCCATTTCAGAGATATCATTGATAATACATGCAAAGAAAATGGGATTGATATTGTCATGACAGATAGGACGTATCACTTGATCGCTGAATCACCAGAGGATGCAAGGTAAAAATTGTGTCTTTTGTGTTCTGTGTACATTTTAATCATTTGTATTTGTAAACTCCAGTATCATTTAACAAGGATAAACTTAACTGTGACATTTAAAAACACACACACACACATAAAGAAATAAAACTGGTATAGTTTTAAAATTCATGGTTAGGGTGAACAATTTACAACAATCTCATGGCATCCCAAATTCCAATACTTTCCAGAAATTATAACACCAAATTTTGTTGGCAGTACAGGCCTGTTTTGTGAGCTGGCTTCTGGGTGCAATTCAAAGTGCTGGTTATCACCAAAAGGCCTTCCATAGCTTAAGGTCTGGTTACTTGAGGAACAGTCTGTCTCTGTAACTTTCTACACATCTGGTAAGTTCAAATTAAGCAGAGTCAAATTGCAGGACCCAGGAAGCATGCAGTGGCTCTAACCTGTAAAATGACATCAGTGTTCCATAAATTGTTGAAGACTTGGTAGTTCACTCAGTTCTGGGGTTAAGATAGTGAGTGAAACCCTTTAATTCATGGTTTTGTCTTCCAGTCAGCTGTGGTTTTTCTTTTTGCTTCCTTTTATATTTTTTAATTGGAAAATACCCAGAGCTGCTGTAAAGTCATGTGGACTTGAAATTGAACAAGATAATAAAAATAAATTATAAATGCAGTAGTGCCTTTCTTTAAAGTGACAAAAAATCGTTCTTTTTGTTTGCATTTTCTTGTTCTATATTTTTCCATTCTCTTTAATAGTGTTTACAATCAAACATTCATATTGGAGCTTTCTCTTTTTTTAATTACTACCCATAAAAGTAGATTTGTGTAAAAGATAGACAGCAATTATATAATATAAGTTATTTTTTGTCCTCTGAGATATATACAGTACATTCTTTCTTTTCCAAAACATAAGATAATTGTGTGCATTTTATGTGTTCGGTATAAACAGCAACTGCACTCCAAATTCACCTCTTCTGAATTTCTTGATTTATTTTTCCATGAAACACTATCCTTCTGAGAGTCCTTCCTAAAAAGACATGAAAAATGAAACACGCCACCTATTTGGTTTGATAGCATATAATTAATTGTTGGCTCAGCAGTTGAATACGAAGCAACCATATTATTTGTGATAACAATCACTTGCTATCTTGGGATTTTTGTCAGAATAAATGGTTCTCTTAAAAGAAAAATAATAACTATACTGCATAATTGGATATCTGTCCCTCATCTAACCAAATGAATGAAAAATGAGTCTAGGCAAGGAAACACTTAATTTTTTTTCATAATATCAGTAATTCTGTCAATGTTGATATTTTGTTTTAACAACCATTCTTTTAATCTGGCTACAGAATTGCTTTATTTCTTAGCTCTATTTCACAGCAATCTGGTCTTCAGCCTACGCTACTACTGGATTACATAAAATCATTAAGAGTTTGTCTGGTTATTGATTCTTTGTATTTCCAGATAGTATTTTATCATGCTACTCCCATCTATCTATTTTATTTTAGAATTAGACTGTGTACTATATTTTATTTTATTGTTAAAGCTCATGAGACTAACCATTCAATAATGTAATGCTACTACAATTTCGATTAGAGAGTTTTCAGTTTTCTTTTGAAATGCTTGATTACTTGATAGTGGAAACATTTATGAATAGAAATTTCCTCATTAGCCCAGAAGTACAATTGTTTTCATATTACAATATATCTAACGTGGAATATTTCTTTGATATGAGCCCCATTTAGTTCAGTGAAATTTGCTTCCAGGTAAATAATTATAAATTTGCAGCCAAGAAAATATTAGCTATCTGTGATAATATGTTTCAGAAAAATTACCTTTTTATACAAGCAGGGCATGCTAATTTGGAGATTAATTTGTTTTGTAGAAATGACAGCATAAATGAAAGACACAAAGAACCTCCCCACAAGTTATAAAACACTCACCTTTTATGCTTAAGCCAGTATTAATAAATGTACAGCTTTGGCAAAAGATTTTGTAACTTTTTATTTCAAAAATGGTTAAAAGCATTGGTATTCATATGATTAGAATGTTTAATATGTGGTCTTGGCAAATGTATTGAAACCACTAAGAGATCAAAAATCATTTTCTGAGTTAGTTTTTATTTATTATTGGATTTTTTAGCCCACTTTTATTTTGTAAAATTCAATCAATATGCTTCTGCCACATATCTTCCCAACAACTGGCCACCCAGCTCTCTTTCATTGCATCCATCCTGGCTGTCCCTGATTTCTCACTGGTCTTGGATACCTTTGGTCATGATATCATTCTGGACCTGCTCAGAGCACTGGCACATGATCCACAGAAAGGTCAAGGTATTGGCAAAGGGGATCTAAGTCTCCATACCAGGTTAGGAAACCCAGCCCAGCCCACAGCAACATCAGCCAGTATGCTACTCTAGCACCAAGTTCAGGTGAATCCTTGCAACCTTGAGAAGTGCAACCCACCTGTGCCCTCTTATATCACAGCCTTTGTTTTTAATAAATATTTTCTAATAAGAGGCCCTGATAACATACATTGTCTTGACTCTTGCCTATGTCTGCTAGTATTTTAAGTTGAACTTCCTGTATATTCACCTAAACAAAGCTATTTTAAGCAAATTAATTTCAGCCTGTCCAGTATTCTATTGTAACCTAGACATCCTAAAAATTATATAGTTCTTAATAGTTAATAGTTCTGGTGGTCTGATCATGAAAATGTTAACCATCTTTTTTCACCTTGGCTCAAATATTAGCATAAAGTATTCTAAATAGAAACATTACCTTGAAGTTAATGATTAGCTGATTGGCTTAGCTTATAATTGTTCTCTAGTGAGCCAAAAGCCACCTTCAGATCTGTGAATAAAGGTGAATAAGTGAAGTATGTGTGTGTGTGTGTGTGAGAGAGAGAGAGAGAGAGAGAGAAAGTGGGAGGTTTTAGGAAAATCACATTGTCTTGTAGCAAGGAGAAAGTAATATTTATATAAGTTGCCTTTGCTTTGAAAGGCAAATGTCAAATGAATGTGACAGATTAATAAAAAACAGATTGCCCCATTTCATTGACTATATCTAGTAATCCAAAGAAGAAAAAGGTTATTGGAGACATGGCAAAACTGCAGAGAGGAATTAGTGGAGTTTGTCTATATAAAACAGGGGTGAGCAACTTTGGAAGTTGCATATGATCCTTAAGTTTATTTATAGTAACCCAAAATTGTAAATTCAGAGGTAAAATACTTGATTTTTAATAGTATGCTTTTAGTCTTCTGTTTTTTTCCCCAAAAAATAAGCATGGAATTGGGAGATAGAAATCCCAATTAGATCAACTATACGATTTCTATGTTAAAAAAAACACCAGCCTCAAGACAGCTTTAACCTAGACTACCCAAACACACTGAGATTTAACCATTTTGCTGGTAAATTTCAGATGTAAAATTTTGGCCCATGAGGATAGAGCTAGGAGAGCTTGGAGAATAAAAATGGGGATTGGTTTGCCAATCAGAGACAAAAAGTTCTTTTTAAAAAAGGTTGTGACATCACAACTTCCCAGTGATCTTTCACATACATGTAAACACTCAGAAAGTTGCCCGTTTTATAGAGAAAAATTAATGGAAAGTTACAGAGCATTTTCCGAATGCCAAGATATTGGGTAGATAACCTATAGCATAATATGATGAATGGTGTACTCTAGAGGAAATGCATTCATTCATGTGCAGTGTTGGTTTATGAATTAGATTTTATCTTTATAAGGGATCTTAAATTGCTTAATGCCTTGAAAATGTTAGTTCCAGGAAGTGTAGACATTCAAAATGCAGGTTGTGACATTCATCAGGGGCTTTTCAGTTGCAGGAAATATAAACAGAATAATATAGAAATGGCCAAACAAAAGCATTTAAGTGCCAGAAACTAAACAAACTAAAAGAGTCAAGGAGAAGAAAGATGTGAGAGTATAAACAATTCAAGGAAATTTTCCATATGCGTGGAAACAGGTTGACAGCAATGTAACATTAGTAGCTGAGAACTTATTAGTAAATTTTAAAAATATTAAGATAGAGTCAACTGGATAATTTGTAAGTGACATTTTATTTAAAATATTATTTCTTCGTTTAGCAAATACCAGTTTTTAATAGTTTCATTTTTTTTCAAAAATATAAACAATTATACACCTAACCATAAAATATGAAAACATGATTTAAATGATGCAGTATTTACTAAATCAAAAGAATTATCATGGGCAGTATTGTTCCTGATTATGAAAGTAATGCTGAAAATATAGCAGCATATTTCTAGAAATAGTGATATGTCTGGTTTAACTGTCTTGCAAAAAAAAAAAAAAAAACCTCACCAAAATACAAACTATGATGTTCAATGATGTCCTAATCAGAAGAGGATATTCATTTATAATAAAAGAGCCTGGCCTTCTCCTAATGGGAAATAATTTCTGCTACATATTTACAGAATCTGTATTTGGTATTTATGACTAAAATATTTTTTCTTAAGTTGATTAATGTTGATGTTCCATGGCTTTGCAAGAGCCTTCCTTTCCAGAAATCATAAAAGAGGTCTTGTTTCATTTAAATAATAATAATGTACTATTAAAAAATGTAGACTGACATTTATTTATTTTTTTGCAGTCAATGGTTCAGTGTCCTGAGCCAAGTGCTCACTTCCACAGAACAGGAAATCAGAGAAATGCACGACGAGCAAGCCAATCCACAGAATGCCATGGTAAGGAAAGAACAAAAGGCACTCTGTTGGCGCTAAAAAAATGTTTAGGGATGTAATTGTCAGTGAAAATGTTGTATTAGAGCAGCATCCTTTGTATTTGGCTATACACTAGGAAGGTGGCTTCTCCATTACCTTCATTGTGATGCCCGGTTTTGGAAGGACTGAAATCATGTTCATTCACTATGTCATGGATTCTCCCTGCTTTATAAAGCAACTTTGCCACATTTGCCAAATAGTGTAATTGGTAATCAATATTGTAGCCATCACTTCACATGCACAGGCAGGCTGTTTTTGTGGTATGAATTGAATAGCTTGAGAGTGGCCTAGAGGTAATAGAAATAATCCAAGAAACTTCAAAAAGAAATTGGCACCATTAAAAATGTGCCATTCAGCATATCAAGGAATATATATAGGTTGGGATCTAGAAATTACTACAGTAATCATCTGTTATTTGCAGAGTGTTTATTTTTTCAGAGGAAGCTTGAAAAAGGGTACACTTTGAGCCTTACAAACTAAGCAAGTCATACCAAGATAAATTTTCCCACACCACATGTAACCAGTATTTGTTTTCAGTATCTCATATAGGGGATACTTTCAACTTTCAATCATTGTCCATTTTGTGCTGTCTATTCCATGGTCAATAAACACAATATTTTTGTTTTATTTCTTTTTACATAGGGCACACTAGATGTAGGGCTGATTGATTCAGTCTGTGCATCGGATAGTCCAGATCGGTAAGTTTAGTTGTCCCTTCTGGGGCTCATAATTATTCCTAAGTCTTTTGTTCCAAACTATTACACATTTCAGCAACTTTTCTTAGTTCTTGAGACTATGTAAGTTGAGAAATTGACGGAAAGAAGACTGATACCATTTATAATTCCATAGCCCACCCCAGGGAAAATGAAATGGGTAAAGCTGCTTGGCTATGGATTTAATCATGTAGGACAATGATCCCCAACCAGTACCAGGGACCAGTGGGGGGATGATTTTGGTTTCGCCCACTCCTTCACCACTCATCTCTAGCTGGGCAGCCTGATTTCTAATAGGTCACAGACAGGTATTGGTTTGTGCCCTACAACTGGGGACTCTGATGTAGGAGATCTACACACTGGAACTGGTAGTTGGGTTGAGATATATGAGAGGGCTGTTATTAGCACAACTTAAACTGCTTTTGAAGCACCACTCCATCTCAAAGCAGGTTTGCCATCTATAAAGGAAGCGTATCTTTTTTTTTTTAATGTCCGATTTAACCCCTCCCTCCTTCTTGATATCCTAAATAGTTACAAGTCAGCAGCCAAGTTACATGGGAGAAATAATTGCAACAGTTAAAATATATAATTCAAGAACAATAGATGAATTTGGTTATATCAGATTTTGGGGGGAGGCAATAGACAGCAGTGCTATCTTTCCAGTAGTCTCCAAGTACTTTAGGGAGACCAGCAAAGGGATAAGAAAGCTGTTCCCCAGCAATAGGTATTCTCCTACATTTTTAAAATTGGTCGTTACACAAGCAAGTTTACATTACTTTAAGAGACTATTAATAATGTTGCATTTTAATGACACCTAAAATGTTTATGTATTTTTGATATTTTTTAATTTGATAGTTAATCCTAGAGGTTGACTTTTAACATTAATTCTATGCAGATTCTGTGTGACAAGGGTAGGTCAAATGTTCTGTTTTAAGGGATCTTTTATGGACTTGTATGGACTTTTCTGCTAGAGTCTCAGTTTTCCAGTTTCATTGTTCAATCACTTCATAAAAATCTAGTACTGCCAGTGGGAGATTTGCATGTCATAACTAGTTCAAAATAGGTATTCTCTCACTATTGTATCAATCAGGTGCATTATGATAATAATAGAGTTTGTATAGAGTTTAAATATCAAGTGCCTTTATATTTAAAAAACGTAAGTTGTGGGTGGGGCCAAATTGCTGAGTAATGTGATTTTAAGAACAACTTGATGAAGAAAATGATTCAACATTGTCCCATTACATAGTACAAACCAGAGAGAAAAGCTTACAATGACAAATCAGATAGACTTTGTTATGATTTCAAACAGTAACCATGTTTACTATACAGGCATTTTCTTCCTTTATTTTTCCTTTATAGACCCAATTCATTTGTGATCATCACTGCTAATCGTGTTCTACACTGCAACGCCGATACACCAGAGGAGATGCATCATTGGATCACTCTGCTACAGCGATCCAAAGGGGACACTCGAGTAGAAGGTCAAGAATTCATAGTGAGAGGTAAGAACTTTTCAAAAAAGAAATCTCCTACACGAACAGAGTTTTGTTTGTTGTTAAAATTTAATGATATAAAATTGACAAAGATTTATCATTTTTCCATGTAGAACCACCCTTTTCATAAAACAGGATGAGATATTTATTTTCAGTATTAGATTATTTTGGATATCATAAAAAAATACCAAAATAAAATTAGATAGCTGCAAGCTAGATATAGCTGGTTGGGCAGTACTTGCACAATTGGCAAATTGGCTTCCTTCAATTGGTTGAGTTAAAATTGACTATTTGGGAAATTGTTAATTAGTTTATATATTGTTATAGCTTGAGAGACTAAAATCAAAAGAAATATCTGAAAAATAGCCAGAAAATGAATTGTATAAGCTGGAATTCACCACTGCAAAATAACTCACCTAAACCAGAGGAGATTAGTTGTCCATCTGCTTAGTTTTTAGAAAGACTATGGCATAAGATTTTCTTCTTTTACGTGATAATTGGTAAAATTCTGATACCAATTTGCCTGTTCATAGACAAAGATCTGCTATGTTTCTGCTCCCTAGGTCTTTTTTAACAGTAACTAAATTCAGAGAGGTAAAGTAGGGGTATAATAATGATTCTGCAACTTGCACTCTTACAAAAAAAAAAAAAAACCTACCCCATAACAAGTGATGTATTTGTGGTTTAACAGAAGTTTTGCTACTACTGTATCTGTTTCAGTGTATTGGAGCCTGGCAGCATCTTGCCAAACACGCTTATAACATATTCAAGAACAAGCATTCTTACTCATATAGGCAATTTCATGAATATACAGGTAGGCAATTTATTTTGGACATCAGTAACTTCCAGAGGCTCAACTCAGAAAGTGCCTTTTCTTCTTCTGTCTAGGATGGTTACATAAAGAAGTAAAGAACAGTCCAAAAATGTCATCACTGAAACTGAAGAAACGTTGGTTTGTTCTGACACACAATTCCTTGGATTATTATAAGAGCTCAGAGAAGAACGCCCTCAAGTTGGGCACCCTGGTGCTGAACAGCCTGTGCTCTGCTGTGCCCCCTGATGAGAAAATCTTTAAAGAAACAGGTACTTAATTCCTCAGGAACGCTTTTTTATTTTAAGTCTGTAGAGCTAATAATATGACTGTTAAGAATCTAAAAATTACTTTGGAATTGTACACATCTAATCTATAGGCAGAAAACACTGTCTCTGTGGGGTTTTGATTGCTTAGTTAAGAGAACTGCAGGTTTACAGCTCATAGTAGAATAGATAATAGCTGCCTTTTGGGGGGGGGGTTAATCAGTCTAATTCAGCTATTTCATCTCTAGGGGATCTCATATTCTAAAGTGAATTAACAAAATATTCACTTACCTGTTCTTGCTTTAGGGTATTGGAATGTAACTGTGTATGGACGCAAGCACTGTTACCGCCTTTACACCAAATTACTGAATGAAGCCACTCGCTGGTCAAGTGCAATCCAAAATGTGATCGACACAAAAGCAGCAATCGATACTCCCACACAGCAGCTTATTCAAGACATTAAGGTAGTTTTTCAGTGTGGAAAGTGTCATTAGAGAAAGGCAATCTACTGCATTATATAGTCTTTTTATGTCATAATTTTCAGGAATGGAAGTGATTGTTTTTCTGATTTGTCATTCTTGTTACTAACGTAGTTCAGCTGCTGATACCCCAACTAACACCATTTGTCTTTCTACCTTTTTATACTGATCATTCTGTGATGCCATCTAGAGGTCACTAGGTCAAGGCAAGCTATTTTATATCTCTTATGAAAATTTTTCCCCCAAAACTTGTGGAACAGTTTAAATATACATCTTGCATGTAGCATTTCTCTGCTTTTAAATTTCCAGATCATTTTGTAATTGTGTATATATATATTTGTGCACTGCCAGTTTGGATGTAATTTCACAATAAGGAATGAGTTCAAGGTCAGAATTTAAAGATAGGCCAGGTCGTTGTGGCAGTCATTTGGCAAGAGCCATGGTGGCACAGTGGTTAGAATGCAGTATTGCAAGCCAATTCTGCTGACTGCCAGTTGCCAGCAGTTTGGCGGTTGGATTCTCACTGGCCCAAGGTTGACTCAGTCTTCCATCCTTCCGAGGTTGGCAAAATGAGAACCCAGATTGTTGCGGGCAATATGCTGACTCTTTAAAATGCTTAGAGGGGGCTGTAAAGCACTGTGAAGCAGTATATAAGTCTAATTGCTATTTCTATTTTCCCTTTTAGTATTTTTACATAATTTGGTTTACTGCTGGTCTTTCACAGTCATTTAGAATTTTATAATTTCTTACCTGACTGTTAGTAATCCTTTTTACACATTTATATAGGAGAATTGCCTGAACCCTGAAGTTGTTGAACAGATCTATAAGAGGAACCCAATTCTTCGTTACACGCAGCATCCGTTGCATTCCCCCCTATTACCCCTTCCTTATGGAGACATCAATCTGAACAGTAAGTTTTGATTAAGAAGCCTTTAAGGCATGCCGATCTGTTATGGCAGAAGCCCCCTTCTGAATAAACACCTTTGCCATGCACACACTCTCAAGAGGTCTTAAACTCATTTGCATAGCCCATTGATAAGGCATCTTCTGGAGTCTTGCTATCAGCATGATAAAGAGTGTTTAAACATTGCAGAGAGTATTTCACACATACTCATTGCAGTGGTTCTTTTATTAATTTTCCAGGTTATTTCATATTTCCAATTTCTAGGCTGATAATAAACTTGGGGAAAGGTAATACCTAATGTCCAACTGTTTCAAAGATGATTCACTCATAATCCTCACAAAGATTTCCAGCTGGATTCAGTAAAACTGAAATTGAGAAATAGCTAACAACTTGACTTTTGAAATGTTACTGTTCCTATAAAGGGAAATTAGTTTTATTAGCTTGGAATGATGGCCAGAACCACTCAGGATTCAATTCCAAAGAAGGACAACCATAAAATGTTTTTAAAAAGACTTTTTTCTTCTTCAAAATGTATCATTTAGTGAAGAAATAACCGTTAACTTCTTATAAATTATTAAGAAAACTTAATTTCTGTAAGTTCTGAGTTTGAATATTACTTCAGGTAGTCTTTGACATACAACCACAATTGAGCCCAAAATTTCTGTTGCCAAGCGAGACATTTGTTAAGTGAGTTTTGCCCCATTTTGCGACCTTTCTTGCCGCATTTGTTAAGTGAATCACAGAACTTGTTAAGTTAGTAACATGGTCGTTAAGTGAATCTGGCTTCCCCATTGACTTTGCTTATCAGAAGGTCGCAGAAGGTGATTACAAGACCCCAAATATGGACTGCAAATATGAGGGATTGAATTTTGATCTCATGATCATGGAGATGCTGCATAAGTTGTAAGAGTGAAAAATGGTCATAAGTCACTTTTTCAGTGCTGTTCTAACATCGAAAGGTCACTAAATGAATTATTGTAAGTCGAGGACTGCCTGTAGTTCTTTTCATGCTTTGAAATATCTTAGTTGGTCTCTGTTCAACTTAAGGTACATTTGCATGTTTCTTTCTTTTTCTTCTAGTACTAAGAGACAAAGGCTACACAACTCTGCAGGACGAAGCTATCAAAATATTTAATTCTCTGCAGCAACTGGAGTCTGTACCAGATCCTATTCCCATTATTCAGGGTATTCTCCAGACAGGACATGATTTACGGCCCCTGCGTGATGAATTATACTGTCAGCTCATCAAGCAGACCTGCAAAGTGCCTAACACAGGGAGCCTTGGCAATCTATATAGTTGGCAGATCCTCACTTGCATGAGCTGCATGTTTTTGCCAAGTCGTAGTATTCTCAAATACTTGAAATTCCATCTTAAAAGGTAAGCTGAACTAAGATAATAAAGATTGGTAGTTTGAAGGGCTCCTTTGGTGGATAAAACGTAGTTTCTACACTATTATACATATCATCCTGGCATCTAGGTCCTTTTGGGATAAATAGATATGTAAGTCCACAACCTACAACCATAATGGAGCCTTCCCATTACAGTCATAAGTTGTGATGTTGGTGTGGCAGATCACCCATGTGACTCACTCAATCTTATAACTTTCTTTGCCATGGTCATTAAGCGAACCATTTCTTCACTATGATGGGCTGGTTTTGCTGAAAAGTAAATTCCAGGTTTCGGCAACAATGCCATAAAACATGGTTACGCAACTGTGAGATATGCTGCAAATGGTCATAAATGCAAATTGGTTGCCAAGCGCCCAACATGCAATCACATGGCCACCAGGAAGTAGCCATTGGAACTTCGGAATCAGGTCATAAGTACCCTTAAAGAGGTTCATTCTAACTCTGAACAGTCACTAAGCAATCAATCATAAGTCAAGGACTACTTGTACAGAGAATTATTAGGAAAACAATAATAGATCCATGGTTTGCCTCAAAATTCATCTTTCATATCAAGGAAGGAAGGGGCAGATATACTCAAACACCTCAGTGAAAAATCAATAGGGACGGTAATGCAAGTAGTCTTTACCCTGCCTTATTGGCCCAACTACACTACAGCGGAAACAAAGTCAGATGAGGAGACCTCAAACCTGAGCAAGTTTGGAAAAGGTAATGAGAGATTGCTAAGGAAGTAACCTGCCCTAAGGAAGCCTTAAGAATGGAATCATGGTTTAGAAAGGAGTGATAGGCAACCTCAGAGCACAAATCCATATAACGGGAAAAGACTAAATGCAATAAGAAAATGGAGTTTAATGTTTCTCCCACAGAATCCACGATCAATTCCCAGGCACAGAAATGGCAAAATATGCCTTGTTTATTTATGAATCCCTTAAAAAAACCAAAGGCAGAGAATTTGTGCCATCCAGGGATGAAATTGAAACTTTGATCAACAGACAGGAAATGACATCTACCGTCTACTGTCATGGAGGAGGTTCCTGTAAAATCACAATTAACTCTCACACCACTGCTGGTGAGGTGAGTAGTTTTGCACACACACAAAAAGAGTTGATAAAGATTAATTTTGAGATCCACGTCGTATAATATTGGGCGTTCATTGATATGCAAAAATGTACCGACGCATGACAAGTTCTCCTTGTGAAATAGGAAAAAAAAAACTTTGTTTTATTTCTAGACATTTTGGAAATAGGTATATCTTCCTAATATGTATTCTTGGAGTATGTAAAGTAAGGTGGAATAATACAGATTGTGAAATTGACCTAGTCTGAGTAATTTACTAATGAGTAAGTAGGTTGTCCAACTTTTTATAAAATATAGGATGTTTTTAAAGAACAACTGAACAATGGCATGTTTTATGCCTATCTTTCATTGTGAACATATTAACAGATTGGTTTATATTAGCTCACAGAACAGAACTAAATAATACAAATATCAGTAATAGTTTAGAAAGCAGGAATAGTTTAAAACTGTGGAACTAGTTGTATTTGTAATACTACAGTATATTATTGTATTGATTTATCATTATGCAACATACTAAACTGTATAATTTTAATGGAATAACTATGTACATGACCTTTTCTTACAAATGATCTTGTATTTTTACACTAGTATTTCTAGT